AAGATAAATATAAGGATTATTTCAAACTGTGAGCCATGCAAAGCTACTGTCATGTAGTGCAAAAATTACAAGATGGAGTTGGAAATTGGCACAATAGGTCCCCTTTAATGAACAGTATTTGCTCAAATCACTTATGCACTTTTTTATCGGTTTGGTTTCATGCCTGTTGGGCTAACCTCTTTTTTTGTGTTATACTTCCACATGTTGAGTTTTCCAGTATGTGGCTTACTGTCTAGGATGGCTTGAGATGGACATTTTCTCCAGTGATGTCTGACGCTCCAGTCCCAGCTTATTAGGAAACTGTTGACCACGTTTAAAGTAGATGAGAAGGGCTGATGTGATGCATTATCTGTATCAGATCAGGGTGGGTCTTGCACCTCCGGTTTCCAAAAATGGCAACAGAAAAAAAAAACAACAACCCTATTCTTAGATGCTTTTCTTTAAAAAAAAAAAAAAAAATAGCAGTTTCTTTTACTAATTAAAGATTTGATTGCAAATCTCATGATGGCATCTGACATGTCTATGATTCTTCTCCTCCCCTCAGGACACACAGCATCACTCCAGCTGATATGGTGAGAGTCACAGATTCATTATCTATGCACCCTCCTCGGAGACATATATGACATGTCAGCGGGGAGACAGGATGGATTATTGACATCTTCTTTCCCGCCTGTCCCCGTATAAGCGGCGCTCTGATCCTCGGGGGACGGGGCGAGGGAGGGATTGAAGAGGTAATTACACAGAACTCTGTATCAACACCCAGAGAGAGCTGTCTGTCAAGATCACTGCACACAAATAGCCAACAATAAATCCTGCAGTTGAAAAGGGCACAGAGAGTCTGGGTGACATGCTGGAGCAAGCATATTAGAATAACTAAATGATGATGTTTCTTATCTCCGACTCACTCAGAAGACAATTATAAAAGTCTTTTATGGAGGAGAAAGAGAAACAGCCAGCCTTGATACCGTGACATTGGTTCTGAATCATCCAAGGGCACATGTGCAAATGCGATTATAGAACTATGGATGGGAAAGTTGAAGAGGGTCATGTAAATTCTGCAAAGCTTGAATACAGAACAAAATAACGGGAATGAAAAGACAAAAAAGAACAATCTGTATAAAAGAACAGAACACAGGGTGCAGGATTGTTTATTGAGCATGTACCTGTTCTCCAAAGCTACACAGCGATCATCCTCTCTGCACACACAGGGCTATTAGACCGCAGCCGTCCCCTCCTCCACTTTGGCACTGATAGACATTTGCTTTTAATTTAATTCCACCTCAGAATTATTGATACAGTAGCCTGCATTTACTTAGTTCTGCAATTCATTTCCATTTTTATGCACTGTCCTCTTGACTGAGCCTTTGTAATGTTATTTCTTACATCAGTGCCAGCTTGAATATCAGAGAACATTGTCTCATCAAAAGGGTTTAAGGACTGAAATAGCTCATTGGTACTGAGCACAGTTTCCAGGGAAGAACTATCTACACATAAAAAAGCGAATCAAAACTGAGGTCTTCTCGTACCATCTTTGCTTCCCTACGGCAAACACGTTTTTAAAACCTGAACTGAGGCTAATTACTCATTGTATTAGGTAATTCAAGGAGGTGTTGGAGGGAGCAGTAGGAGCACGCACATGATCCTGAAGGGGGCCACAATGAGCCACTGATGAAAACTCTTCAGCTTTAAGTTCCTGTTAAACACAGCTGCCTACTTGTACAAAAACAACAAAAAGGAAGAAAATTCAGCTTCTACGTATCTACAAGTGATCAAATTTGAAATGTGATCGGTTCGGAGATGAACAGCATCTTTGTGGTGTCATCTTCAGCAGGTCAGGGGATTGCACTTGCAGGGGCTGAGTCTGCTTTATTGTCACTCTTACTAAAATAAAGCACCTAGGGATGGGAGGTAGTTTGCCAAGTTTGGATCCTCTGCACTGTTTCAAGTGATAAATCAATATCTAATCAATATGGATGTATAGGTATACATATATGAATCCTCTGTTTTCTCAAACTAACGTGTGAAATCATTTAACAACCATTTATTGTGTATATAAAGATCCCCCCCTTATTGATACCATTCTTATTACAAAACAACTGAAAGACTTAATGTTAATTTGGGCGATTCAGTCCCTGAGCAGCTGCTTGTGTAGATGCATGGCTAAGTAATGAGGGAGTGTGGCTAAAATCGCAATTACACTGTAATGACAATAAGCATGCGGTATACTGAGAGATGCAGTTTAAACTCTTTTACACACTTCTCAACCGCTCCTTGTTCTGTCAGCGAGTGCGTCATGTGGTGCGGGGGCAGATTGTCCCACATGACCTACTTCATGGACTAAAGGAGAGATTAGCAACAAAACTCCACACTGCCACGACAAGGTTAACAATACTGACACACGAGGTGGGTTGTATATTTAACACTACCACCTGAAGAAAATAAGGGAAAAAAAAGCCCCCCAGCAACAACAACAACAACAACAACAAAAGATATTATTAAAGAAAGCCAGGAAAATACAACAAAACACAAAGCTTCTCTGATAAAACTCTACTCAGCTGTTATATCCTCTGGCTGTTTCCAGTGACGTCATATTACAGAGGATTAAGATAGCAACAGATGCACTACAACTAGCTGCCTTTGGCTGCCATTGTGCTTGATTTTAGTCATAGGCATCAAAATGAAACGGCGTTTGCAGACCACAGGCTTGATTTTCAGGACATGATGCAAACACCAGGACAAAAGAAAAAACTTGTTAAGCATGAATAGAATTAGATATCCCACTAAACAAACGGTCAAACAGCTTATGGATGTGGATTGTAAATATGAGACTACCACTCAGGAAAAGGCTCAGTGTTGTGACAATACAAATGGTTGCTGTTACAGTTCAGTCAGCTTTACTAAAAGCTGATTTAAAATATACGTATTTCTCATATGCCAATGTTTAATATTTCATAAAAAAATAACTCCATACAAATATACACTGACACAAGAAAGTGATCAAAACAATTCTGCCGGCTCAAATGCTAATTAACACCATCGTGTTTACATGGCAGGAAAAATGAGACTGGTGTAAAAACAAAATATTACCAACTAATAAAAGAGACATGCCCTTATAAATCAGTATTTTCATTCAATTCAGTACAATTTCATTGAAATGAACTGAATTACACCTGGAGACAATACATTTGCTATTAGGGCATGCCACATGGTAGCATCAGGATGAAACTGCAGTAGACAAGATAAGATATACAAAGGCAAGATAAATACAGGAATACTGGATATAAAGATAAGAAGTGAAACCCAGGAGAGGACTTACAAGGTACAGCACGAAGGTAGAGGTTCTCTCTGATGACCTGCTGAAGTTGGCTGTCCACTGATCCGGGTGTGAAGCACTTACTCAGATACAACCTGAGGTCCTTACACAATGTGGGGCCTGAGAGAAGGGCACATAAAACAAGTTTGGCATAGAGATGAGGAAGGAAAGAGATAAGGAAATAAATCAGCTCAGTAAGCATAAACAGTCGGATGATGCATGCTTAAATTTATCTAAAGCGCTAACTTTTACTCCTGACAAGCTGGATTTAACACCAGTACTTTACAGCCTGCTGATGTCTCTATATCACTTCATAGTAGCTCCTGAGAATTAAACGTGCCTGTCCAAGTTCCTCGTGCATATACCTACAACAGCCTACTGAGGTTAATTGTTCCAGACACAACGGTAGAGGCTGTCACCAGAGGAGGCAGAGCCGCTCAACACAGCGGGGCTTTGTTTCCTCTCTGATCTCTTAATATCGTCTCGCGTGCTTTACGGCCTTTGATGGCAGGCCGCGTGCTGTTATGGATGGACTGAGCGTGTCTCCTGTTTGTCACTCTGACAGACGACCATTCTGTCAGTGCCTCCCCTGAAGGCTGTCGCCGAGCCATCCACACTCCTGTCACCCCCTATCCATACTGGCTGTTACAGTGGTTCTGCCCAGGAGCAGGCAGAATTTACAGAGGGCTATTTAAAAAAAAAAGGATCAGTGATATAACTTTATTAGTGGAGGCAGCATGTACATATGACTGGTCACATATGGCTGCTGTCTGTAAAGGGAGATGAATCTAGCCTGCCGCCCTTTGGGAGAAATGGCGGCTTTGTTCGTGATGTTACGAAACAGCTGCTATTTTCTAGTCTGCTGAAGAGCAAAATTCAAATCTGAACTGAATGAACTGACAATGTTTAAGCATATGTCTGAAGCCAGGAATAACAGCAATGCAAAGAAGATTTTCTGGAGCTTTGCTGTAATCAAAACCAGAGAATGAAATTTTAAAGTTGGGTATTTTTGATTTGTGTGGCATCACTGCTCTTTTTTTTCTCTCTGCAGCATTAATGCTTGCTTCCTCTCGGGACTGTAGCCTGATGTCAGTATTCCGAAGCAGGAGCAGAGGGAGTTGTAGTAGTAGGAGTAGCAGAGGAGGTGTGGTACAGAAACCCAAAGCATCAGATCATCCATCACTGTCCACACCACATGCAGTCAAGCTGCACAGAGAGGACCAGGCAGACTTCAGAAATGATAATGGATCTACCGGTAGCAGAGCGACCAGGAGCAAAGGTCCCCATTTACGCCCCTGTGGCCAAATCGGCCATCAATCTAGCGAGCAAGGCCATCGGGAGGTGCAGTCAGGTGACACTTTGGTGACATATCGTTCTGTCCGCAGCCGACAAAGACATCCGTTCCCCCAGCCCCCTGTTCTAAACATCAAGGCCCCACTACGAGTGACAGGCAACTCGATTGCCACACTCTTGTCATGCGTCATCAAAATTTTGAACTCCTACCCACATGTTAACCAGTCCTCCCGACATAATTGACAAGCACAAATCAGCAGAGCAGAACACTACAGACCGACGATTTGGAGTGTGAGAGCTCGGGGGAGGGAGGCTGTTATTGTGCAGGAATATCATGGATGACAGCTTGGAAGCAAGTGTAGCAGATTGTTTGGGTGTAGACAGATGAAACAAGTGCAATGGCGTGCAAGATAAACAGTGATAAGTCACTGTAAACTGTCTACAGTAAGAGTGTGGGAATTTCAGATTAAGAATTAAGATATGTGAAGGGCCTTACCTGAAACAAAGCAGACCTGTGTTCACACATTTCATCGCCTTTGTGCCCATAATTTGCTCATCTATTTAAATGAGTTGCAGACTAATGTGTTGGCTGTTTTGGGTGCTGAGTCATACCTGGTGACACAGTTTTGATGCGGATAGGATGGGGGCAAGAGTTGAGGATACCACGGACATCTCCTAATGTCATCCCTAAAACTGGTGTTCCCCCAATCTCTAGGATGATGTCACCCACAGTGAGGCCACCACCCGGGGCTGACGTGACAAAGGGAAACTCTCCATAATCTGCTCCTCCACCGATGGCGATCCCCAGCTCTCCCGACGAACCTTGCAGAGGTACAAAGCTGTCTAGCACCTTTGAACGCCAGTGCAGCTTCTTCACCGCCGACTTAGACATGGCAAATGAACTGTTGAGAAAAGGAAACGGGTGTTTAGAGAGCGAGCAGAAGGCGTCAGGCAATAAAAAAAGGAGGGGGAAAAGTGTCGGTTACATAACAAGGAAGAGAAAGAACCTGTGACTTCATGTTATTTAACCTTTGTCAGTTTGCAGATGCCCACTGCCTGTGGAGTTGCTGCGTTTCGCATCAGAGAGTCATGAATAATTCTAGCGTCACAGGTTAGGATGGCAGCTTAAATGTCAAGAACAAGACAACATGGAAAATGTGTCTGTTTTATGCAAACATACAACAACACAACAGCCAAATGACTGTCCAGCCAAAAGACTGAGAGAAACTTTCCCTCATGCTCACTGTGCTCTTGGCTGACGTTTTATTTATGTGTAAACAAGCAGCACGGCCATGAGTGCATAGCCACAGTCACATGGGAAAATCGAGTGTGAGTTTGATGGAGGTATGAGAATCCATTTTCACATACTTGTCTTTATCCATACGTTTTCTAGATCATCAATAACCACGCCATTTATTTTCCCATGGATAGATTCTCCTACGCTCTGCTAGGGTGATGTTTTGTCCACTAATGGCAGCTGCTTACGGTAAAGAAGGGAAATAATAAGGCAAAGCTGTACTGAAATACAGTTTTGGGTTGTTGTTTTTTTGTTAAAACACATTTCCTGGAGAGCAGCTGTGTGTTGGGGTGGGGTGGGAGGGTGCAGGAGGATGTAGCTGGCACGGTGAAGATTTGTTTGAGTCGTCCCTGATGTGACAGCTGCACTGCCAGAGAACAGACAATGTTCCTCTGACATTATCAGAGCAGCATTGTCACCTTAACACACGGTAAGACGGAGCCACACAAGGCACTATATCACAATCAAAAAGACAAACACAATGTGTGGACTAAAAGCTTTAGAAGTCAGGCAGGCAGATTTAATTTCCTTTGGGCAGCGTTTGGCGGGCTTTTGCCCTCAGTTTCCAGTCTTTATGCTAAGTTAAGCTACCTACCCCCCGGCTCAGGCTTCATAATTACCATAGCAACATGATGGTGATATCAATCTTCTCATCAAACACAATTAAGCATATTTCTTACTTACTTTGGAACACCTCCACTAAGTCAATTTTGCTTAAATACAATATCCCAAATGGATACTACTGATTTCCCCTTCCAGTGTGGCCAGGAAATAAGCCATTACACTTCACTTCACCAAGATGCAATCCTCTTAAAAGGCTGTGGTGACCCCTGGCTAGGCAGGGTTAACATGCACAGCACCAGACCCAGAGCTAGTAGGGAGGCCCTAGGGTCCTCTGACCCAACAGACCTAATAAGTCTGCTTCAAAGAGTGAGAGAAGGACAGGATATTTCTAATCCTTTCCAGCTGACTGGCAAATCGACTTGCAGATCTGACAGAGATCCTCTTCCATCCTCTGCTGCTGCTCAGTTAAAGAAGGGAGGTCCCTGGTGTGTGTGTGTGTGTGTGTGTTTTTATAAGATTGAATTATAAAAAACAGAACCATGAAACCCAGAAATACAGATGGGTTGTTTGTGTTTTTGCAGTGCACTCAGTGAGTAACAGGAGAGGAGAGAAAAAGGGAAAAGCAGAGGTCAGATGGAGATCGAGAGGCGCCACCCTGCCTGAGGGTTGGCGTAGGACTCACTTATTTGACCTTGCAGGACTTCAGCTCAGGCGACATGAGTCAAAACTAGAGAAATAGTTGAACCCCAAAACACACATTTCTTTCTAGAACAACAGCCTGTCACTGTTGTTCAAGCACACTTGAATTAAACACAATCAAACAAGTAGCGTTGTTTACGCCGGCATATTTCAGCCTGAAATTATGCTTATCGCTTCAGTCTTGCCAAACAGTGCCCCCAGTCCCTCTCTCTACCCCACTGTGAAACCTTCTGCAGCTACACTGTCGACCTGCTTCTCCGAAGTCAGCCAGCCATCCGCCCACACAGAAAACACAGCAATACAACGTGCATTAAGGGTGGCGTGAGGCCAGAATACAAACAAAAGCAACTTTTTCCATTTAATCATATTGTACACAACATCTGCATCGTCCCTGAATAATAAGTCTATAAGCCGTTGGTCTTTTCATGATTTATCTAAAGATTTCTGGGAACGTCTCAACAGTAAAGATTAAAAAGCTTAAAATAAAACCACTCATAGGTATAAAGCAGTATTCTGTTGGAACTACACAGTCGCATTGTGTTTCTGCCTAACGTGTGTTGCCTGAGATGTAGTTGTTGTCTTGACCTCCTGCGTCTGATGGGGGTTTAATGAGCCACAGCCTGTCAGGTTGTTGAAGCCTGACTCGTCCTGCTGCAGACACACACTCTGACACTCTCTCTCTCTCCCTGCTGTTGGTGTTGACACTACAAACTGGCCCTGCACGCTCATCTTACCATGTTCATTAAAAACACATTGTCATCAAGGCTGGGGAGGAGCAAGGGCTACTGACTCTACGCAGTGATCTTATCATGTTAGATTTAATAGATTACTAAGAAATCATTCGTTTGCATTTAATATAATTTTGAATATGATGATCTTACCTGTATCGGACCATATCTGTATAAATCAGTTACTCCACATAGCTGAAAATTAAGCAAATACAGGAGTGGCATGAATTGCAATTCCTTGAATGGCAAGTTTTTAAAAACTGAAAGAGGAAGCAAGAACCAATCTACATGGACTTCCATGTTAAAATAAACTACAGAGCAGAAATTTCATTTAGTCTCCATTGCTAATTTTCCACCTTTATGTCAACTGTAATGACTGATTTCTTTCCCCTTTTTTAATCACTACTAACTATGTTAAGTGATAAGGTTTAAAGCCAGAGCTGGATGTTAACTAGGATAGCAGTGCAATAATGGTCTCCCAAAGACTGTATATGAAAAATCAATATAGCTTCTGGGCCTAAATGTGAAGCCTGTGTGGAAGCCTGGATTATCTCTGATGACCACTAGTTGCACAAAGAAGTCTGCATGCATAGACTCCTATGGAAAATTGCCCTCAGCTCAGTAAGCACTTTCCTAATGAGTTTGTCATAGTGCGCTATGATGCTCATTTTGATGGATTTAATTGGCAAATGGCTAATACATGAGCATGCGGTGGCAAAATAGGACTTTACAAACCAATAGATGTTATCAATGCAACTTCGTCCATGTTTTAAATAGTCTGCAGTGCCACCTCAGCAACATTCAGGAAGCTGTTTCTTCAGTTTTAGTGTGTTAAATTCTATCAGTTTACATGTATGTTGTTTAGCATTAATTAACAGATAGCAGTTGCCAAACATTAACCAGTAACTTAGCATTCCACTTTCTGATTCACATATATTTATTTTTGGTTCCAAAAATCCAAGATGGCAATGGCCATAATGCTACAAAATAGGCTTCAAAAGGAGAACACAACCCAAAAGGTGATATTGCCTTTAGCCTATTGTATGAAAACATGAATGAATTTTCTGAAATACTAATTCGATTTTGTGTTGTATGAAATTTCCTTTGATCAAAATCGCAAAACGTGACTGCTTGAACTGATTATGAGATGAAAATGATGAGCTCTTAATCATCCTCTCATGCTGATTCAAAGCAAACCTAAAAATATGCAGCTATGCTAGAAGCAATGTGACTGTGTTTTAAGCTAAAGTCAGCCACATGTTCCCAATAAGCATGGCAACATGCTGAGAGATAACAGCTGTAGTTTCTACCTTGTTCTTGATCTTATCAACCATCTTATCAAATAAAGAGCAGTAAAAGGGATCCCAGCAGTTTTGCAAGGATTTGGGCCCAAACCATAAACACAGGACTAATTGAAATATTACATTATTAAATATTAGTTTTAAGATGTCGACAAATAAAAAGTGAATCACTAAAGTCTAAGGAGCTTGGAAAGAGAGTGACTGGACTTCATTAAGTTGCTTGAACGAAACTTAAAGAAGTCCAGCCGTTTTCTTTCCAAGCTCCTTAGACTACCATGAGCTGGATGACTGAGAACCTGCACAGGCATGTCAGACATGTATCACTAAAGTTGTAAGACTAATGAAGCTGATCCTGTGGAAACATAAATCTGTGTACTTAATGCCAAATCAATCAAGAGGTACACTATAAGGAAACAGGAACCAATTACCTTCACGTTACACCTACTGGAGCTGCTTGAACATGGAAACCTATGTTATGAAGCACCCAGTGCGCAGTTTTTGTGCTGATGTTAATGTCAGAAGAAGTTTGGAATTCTATGACGTCAAGGCTCTGCAACTTCAAGACTCACGCTTCGACTTTGCAATAACACCACTTAGTAACTCATTGACTATCTATGAGGAAAGAAATTTCACAAATTGGTTGCAGCGGCGACATTCTTTAAAATAATCAGTGACAAAATTTTGTGAAGGCAGACTGCATAGCTAGGTGTTTGATTTTGATTTATACTTGATTTTATACATTTTATTTTTATACAATGGAACTAAAAACACCTGAATTAAAAGATAAAGAGGTGTGGTCCAATGCTTTTGTCAATATAGTATCTTTCCACTATGAAACACATCAAGTAGTGACATGGAAGACAGTAGGATTCATCCACTGGGGGCTGTAATTGCCTGTACATAATTTAATAGCAATTCATTACACAGTTATGAGCTTAATATGGACCAAAGTAATTGCCCCACTAGCACTGCTATAAGTAATTCTGAGAGCATGAATTACATAGACTGAACAATATGCAGGGTCACGGATATCTAAGCCTATAAAAAGAATGCTCTATAGAGATTCCTGACCTTTAGGTCAGAAAAGAGCTGACCAATACATATCCTGTTTCACTGACTTCCTCTGCACCAGTGAGGATCTCTATAGTTTGCAACCTCTGCCTTTCAGTGTAATTTCAACCCCCACAGTGATCTGTCAGGGGCAAAACACACAACTCCTTGATTTAGTCTATTCTTAGTGCCCATTTTTTTCCTCATCATATCTGTTTATTCAGAAACTACAGTGCATGTGCTAGAGGCTACGAGTCAGTGTA